GAAAAAACAAACATTGCCCTACAATCCTGACACTTTAACAAATCAAATTATTTTAATTGATTGCTTCTTTCCACTACTTGCTTTTGTATATATATGTGTGTAATTATATATTTTATGTATATATATATATATATATAAATTTCTAGAATCGTAATCAGAATATAAATAAGTATATTAAAAACATATTTAAGGACAATACAACATGCTTAAGTTACAATCATCAACTAGTTGAAAGTGATATTATTAGCGGTCTTAGATATCAGAGCATTGTAATGTATATGCTCATACTTGAAAAGCAAACCTCAGCAGTTCTCTGTAGAAACAGTGTGACCTCAGGAGAGTAAGCTGATAGTTATAAGACTATTGCTATGTAGGTTGTAGACTTTAAAGTCCTCATTATGGTTCTCATGACTGTGGGACCGGAACCTACAGGGGGAATAAGGCAACCAGAATTGGGGCACCTTGAGTTCAAACTCTCTCATTTAAGGTATCTCAATCCATGCAATCCTATTGGAACCACTCTAAGGAAAATAAGATGGCTCAACGGCCAAACAGAATACTTGTTCCTACCATGAAAAGCCTACTAAGACCACTCTGGACTTCTCAGCAGTATGACGCTTTGGGGCATCCTAGCCTAACTCATTCTAGCATAATTCAGGGTACCAACTCAAGGCCAGGATCAGTCTCCTTAATATGCTAAGGCAGCTTATAAAATTTAGCTGTAACAAGTCACTCAAATAACAATGGGATGTTTGGTAGCAAGAAACACAAATTTTTCTGGGACTTTAATATTAGCTAACATTTATTGAATTTTTACTATGTAAGACATTGTATTAACTTTTTACACATATTACCTTTTTTAATCCTATGGCTCACCCTATTTCCTCTGAGGTAATGATCTCTATCAGACATATAAGGAAACTGAGGCTCAGAGAGATTAAGTGAATTACCCAAGGTCACAGGCCAGGACCAAGCAGAGCCAAGAATTCAACCCAGCTCAGTCTGAACTTGTTCTTGATCACTGTGTTATACCTCCCAACATTAACAAATTATTTCCATGAGAAAAAAATTAGTGAATTCAATAAAGACTTTTAAAAATACCTTCAGGGGTTTCATGGGCCCTCTGAAGTCTATCCATGTACATAGACCCCAAGTTAAGAACCTCTGCTCTAAAGATCTCAAGGCATCTAATACAGCATAATACATTTAAAATCTGGAAAAAAAAAAAAGGTAAGGCAATAATAATAATAATAATAATAGCTACCATTTATTGAGCACCTACTATGTGCCAGATACTGTGCTTAGTGCTTTACATATATTACCTCATTTAGTTTTCATCCAACAATGCAACACCTATTACTCTGACAAGAAAACTGAGGTTCAGAGGGTTTAAATGACTTGCCCAAAGAATTGGGAGGGAACTGAGCTCAAGCTGACTCTATGGCACCAGTTCCCACTAAGGCAAACACTGAATCAATCCCAGATCAAGGGTTTAAACTTACTGTCAAAGTAAACACAGAACAAATCCTGGAGACATATTTACCTGTATGACTTATGCAGTTCCATGACCTTCTCTTCAAGTTCCTTGGTCTGATTTGGGGCCAGTTTAAAATCACTAACGTAATCTGCACCATGGAGTTCTGGGTCATAGTCTCCCAGCTCAGACTGGATGGTATAAGAACCTAATAATGCTAAGGTTGCAAATGAACAGGGCAGACGTCCTGCAACTATGTCCTGCCGAAGTTGAAGACATAAATAATACCTACAGCCAAAGAGAAAAGATGTTACCATGTCAGCAACAAAAACAATAACAAAATACAGAGAGAGAAAAAGGAAGAAAACGGGAGAGAGAGGTAGGGAAGGAGAAAGAAAAAGAATGATTAAGTAAATATGAGATAATATTAATAATTGTTCAGTGTAGGTAGAGGGTATATGGTTGTTAATTGTACTATTTCAATGTCAGATAGTAATAAAGGCTGCTTGGCCCCCAAATTGGGTCCTTTCTTTTCTATCACGTTGCTTTGCCAAATACGTAGATACTGCCCTTCACATACAAAGATGACATTACTGATATATTTTCACTAGCATATGAATGTTCTTTGGTATGTTTTTCCTCCAAGATGGGCTTAAATTGCATGCAGCCTTCCACACACTATCATCTTGTAAGACCGATTCCACCTGTATGCCAAACTATAGGGAATTCAGATGAGGGTTCAAACAGTTAAGTCCAACAAACTGAGTGACCCTACATATGTCAGACACACCATATGGTATTCACACCCATGGCCATGACCTCCTTAGCCCTTGTTCTGACTGGGTTAACCAGTTCAGACTCTTTTACCAAACAGGAAAGCTGAGAGGTATGATTAAATTGAAAACTCCTATATTACTTAGAATCATATCTTTGACTTGACCATAATTAGATGCTGAACAACATATGCACCAGCAATCATTTTTGCTATCTATGATTAGTCACTACATACACCTTTTTTAAAAAGTCAGAGCAATGCCAATCAAATCGTAAGAATCTTAAACTCTTCTAAAATGTAGGTAATTAGTACAGATTTTTAGGGATTTGTTTTGTTGTATATATAATAAACCTTAATGAAGAAAGATGAATAATTAGCAACTCTAAGAGACAAATATTACCTGTGAAAGAGCAATAACCAAGACAATTTTTTCAGGCAGAGATATTGCATCTCAACTTCAAGAATGTACTAAGGATAACTGGACAAAGAATAATTTTTTCAAATGGCATAGACATTTCACAGTACTTAACAAGCAGACCTTTTAATAGTCTTAGGCTATTCTTATTTGAGAGAGATGAAAACTGAAGCCTGGAGAGCGTATATTTGTCTGAAATCAGATAGTTGACAGCAAAATCAGAATTAGAAAGCAGTTTCTCAACAACCAACAATTCAATTGAACAAACATTTGCCAAATACCTACTACGTATAAGGCTCTATGCAAGATGCTATGGATATACATATGTAGAGTAGTATTCTTTACTATATACTGTTTTTCCTTTTTCCTTTTTTGCTACTATTCAGTATTTATATAGAATCCAAAAAAGGCCACTTTCTTAAAAAGGAATCAGTAAGCTATTTTTTTGTTTGTTTTTGTTTTTGTTTTTGTTTTTGTTTTTGCAGTATGCGGGCCTCTCACTGTTGTGGCCTCTCCCGTCGCGGAGCACAGGCTCCGGACGCGCAGGCTCAGCGGCCATGGCCCGCAGGCCCAGCCGCTCCGCGGCATGTGGGATCCTCCCGGACCGGGGCACGAACCCGTGTCCCCTGCATCAGCAGGCAGACCCCCAACCACTGCGCCACCAGGGAAGCCCTCAGTAAGCTATTTTTAAACAGTACAAGATTTATTTCATAAATTAAGTGGGCTCAAAAATTACTGAGGGGGCTTCCCTGGTGACGCAGTGGTTGAGAGTCCGCCTGCCAGTGCAGGGGACACGGGTTCGTGCCCCGGTCCAGGAGGATCCTGCATGCCACGGAAAGGCTAGGCCCGTGAGCCATGGCCACTGAGCCTGCGTGTCTAGAGCCTGTGCTCTGCAACGGGAGAGGCCACAACAGTGAGAGGCCCGCGTACCGTAAAAAAAAAAAAAAAAAATTACTGAGGAAGGTTCAGTTCACGTACCTAATCATACAATTTAAAAGGGGAATAGGAAGAAAAAAATAGTAACACTGAGACTTTAGTTTTTTTGATCCCTTAAGAAACAGCATGGTGTGAGAGGAGTATTTAAAACAAACAAAAAAACGGCAGAGCTGTTTTGCCACTGTATTTGTCTCTTGTCCTTTGGAGGATAGTATGGTTTATAGGTTCTCTGTCCACAGCATGGCATAATACCCATGATAAACAAGGTTAATTCCCTACCAATTTTCTCCAGGCGAGTCACAGATATTTGAGGCTTTTAGGATCACTTATTTGCAAGCCTGCCTTGAAGTGACCAGAAACTTTTTATCTTAGGTTTAATAGCTTATCATTTTTCTTCAATTCTGAATGGAGAAATTCCCAAAGCTTATGATAATGAGATTACTTATTACATATTTAACTATTAATAAATTATTTACCTTGTTATATCTTCTGTTAACTGTGCTGGGTCAGGTGGATAAAACTTTACATTAAATGTGAAATTCCAAGGGACACCTGTAAAAATAAACACAAAAGAATTTTATGCTTATGCCTAAGTTTCTGGTTGTTAGAAATACCTAAAAATATTCAAAAAAATCTTTTTTCTCTTGAAGTGTCCTAATACTTTCATGCTTTGTGGGTGAAATATTTTATTTAAAAAAGAAAAAGAAGAAAGTTGTTTAGACACCATCTAAGAGTATCTCATTTTTTTTACCCAACTTAATAGTTTTGTTTATAAAACAATATAAGCAAAATAACATAAAGGAAACCATCCTACAGGTGAACATGTTTGTAGCAATGGTTTTCAAAATGTGATCTATATACCACTCTGGGTCCTCAGAGGTCATTCTAAGTGACCCATGGATGTTTTCTTTTGGTGTTGGCATTATTTATTTGTGACATCTCTCAACATTATCTCAAATAAACAAAAGCATTCTTCCCATTAATATGGGTGAGAATATGGGTGAGATTAGGAGATTATTTTAGAAATAAGAAGGAAGAGGCAATATAGGTGGCTCTTAGAAACTATAGCTCTAATGAAAATATTTTAGGTATGAAAACTACAAGAATTTAATCCTAAGACTCATACAAGTGTTTCATATTTTTTATCTACAATGAAAATCAGAGATTGTGAGTAAAAGTTAAGTGGAGAATGCATTTCAATTTTTCCAGCTAAGTGCTACCCCTTCAAGGTTTTTCTAACATGACTGTTAGTTTCCCAAAGAGTAGGGCCTGGTCTCAGTTATAAATAAGTTATGATTGGGCTTCCCTGGTGGTGCAGTGTTTGAGAGTCCGCCTGCTGATGCAGGGGACACGGGTTCGTACCCCGGTCCAGGAAGATCCCACATGCCGCGGAGCGGCTGGGCCTGTGAGCCGTGGCCGCTGAGCCTGCGCATCCGGAGCCTGTGCTCCGCAACGGGAGAGGCCGCAACAGTGAGAGGCCCACATACCGCAAAAAATAAAAATAAAAAAAAAGAAATAAGTATGATTGGTTATGATGCTAAGAGCTACACTTTGTTCAGTATTTATTGCATGCCAGGTACTAAGCTAGCCCTCTTATATACAGGTAGGTGCTACTATTAGTTCATTTTATTTATGAAGAAACAGAGGCTTAAGAAAATACATAGCTAGTGAATCCAGGGTTCTCTTACTCCAAATCCCATGCTTTTAACCATTGGACTCTACTACCCTATAACAAACATCTGTGTTTCAAACACTGTTCTGTTTTGCATTCACAGCATTTCATCTCCAAATATCATTTTTATTGCTATTGGCTGCCAATGACCATATGCAAATTAAAATTTGAAATAGTTTGAATGTCTTAATGAATATGCAGTTTTAAGCATGCTAAAATATTTAATACAGGAGTCTCTTGGAAATGGTTGATACTTTCCTTCAAAATTTGAAAAGGCAAATTCCAGACAATAAAACAAACATCTCAAATCTACTCAATCCTAATGTTTACCATTAACTCACTTCTAATGTTTCACATCCCAAAAACTTTAAATGGAACTTAGAAAACCAACCCCATAATTGTTTCTCATAAAAAGGGTAAGGGGATGGGGAGGCAATATTTACAGTTCAAATACTGTAAAATACCATCTGTTGTTATGATTATGATATGTTAATAATCTAATCATTGTTAACTTATAATTCCCATATAGACATTAAAAAAAGATGACTTCTATGCTACCTATAAAAAATGTATTGGCTAGAGGGCTTCCCTAGTGGCACAGTGGTTAAGAATCCACCTGCCAGTGCAGGGGGCACAGGTTCGAGCCCTGGTCCAGGAAGATCCCACATGCCGTGGAGCAACGAAGCCCGTGTGTGCCACAACTACTGAGCCTGTGCTCTAGAGCCCATGAGCCACAACTACTGAAGCCCACGTGCCTAGAGCCCATGCTCCGCAACAATAGAAGCCACCGCAATGAGAAGCCCACACACCACAATGAAGAGTAGCCTCTGCTCGCTGCAACTAGAGAAGCCCACGTGCAGCATGAAGACCCAACATAGCTATAAATAAATTTATTTTTAAAAATGTACTGGCTAGAGCAAATCAATATGGGAAACAAGACAGCTAAAAGAATGTTCAATAAATGTGAATTCAGCATTTAAGAACTTTAAACACAAATTCAGTTATTTCATAACATATATAAATGACAATTTTTTAATAGTATAGGAAGACTAGCATAAAGAAAGCAAATCAACAACAGTTTACAAAGTGTGATTTTTTTTTCTCTTTGAGCTAACTGATATAAAAAGCTTGGTAACACCCACGATTGGTGGGGAAAATAAGCACTTTCTTCTATTGCTTATGTGAGTGTAAACTGGTACAACACTATGGAGAACAATTGAGAATATCTATCAAAACATAAAATGTATATACTCTTTCACCTAGCAATTCCATTTTCATAAATGTATCTAAACATACACTTAAATGTGGTCAAATGATACAGGTATAAGATATTGTTTGTAATAGCAAATGTCTGGAAACAACCTAAATGTATTTATTTAGTAAGAAAAGATACACTGCCAGTATATACTGTTAAGTGAAAAAAAAAAATCAAGGCAAAGAACAGCGCATATAGAAAGCAACTGTGAAAGTTGGGGGTAGAAAAAAGTGGCTATTGTGAATGGTGCTGGTACGATGCAACTTACTATTAAATGGTTCAGAAAAAAGGTTGCGTGTGTGTGTGTGTGTGTGTGTGTGTGTGTGTGTGTGTGTGTGTGTGTGTGTAGATAAAGAGAAAAGATAAAATAGTAAAATATTAACATCTGAGGAATCTGGGTGAAGGGTACCCAGGAATTCTTTGTACCATTCTTTCAACTTTTAACTCTGAAATTGTGTCCAAACATTTTTAAAATTAATAATTGAAAAACAATTCCTGCCTTCTGGGTACACAGGAAAACAGGAACTATCTCATACACTATTATTGGTGGGGGGTGTAAACTATTACAATCAATTTAAAGGAGAGCAATTTGGCTATATCTGGTAAAACTAAAAATAAACATACTCTATAATCTAGCAATTCCACTTTAAGCCTAAATCAGTGGGGGTTTTTTAAAATTAATTTATTTTTGGCTGCGTTGGGTCTTCGTTGCTGTGCGCGGGCTTTCTCTAGTTGCAGCAAGCGGGGGCTTCTCTTGTTGCAGAGCACAGGCTCTAGGCGCCTGGGCTTCGGTAGTTGTGGCACTTGGACTCAGTAGTTGTGGCTCACAGGCTCTAGAGCTGTGGCACACAGGCTTAGTTGCTCCAAGGCATGTGGAATATTCCTGGACCAGGGCTCGAACCTGTGTCCCCTGCATTGGCAGGCGGATTCTTAACCACTGCACCATCAAGGAAGTCCTGGTGGGGGTTTTTAAACTGTGGATCATGATCCATTGTGAAATCAGTTTAATGGGTCAAAATCAGCATTTTTAAAATGAAACAGAAAACAAGAGAAAAAGGTCAGAGGAGGAATTCCCTGGCAGTCCAGTGGTTAGGACTTGGCACTTTCACTGCCAGGGCCCGGCTTCAATCCCTGGTGGGGAAACTAGGATCCCACAAGCCGCACAGTGCAGCCAAAAATAAAAGAAAAAGAAAAAAAGAAAAGAAAAAACTCAGAGGATATCACTGTGAAATTTTCTTTTCAACTGAGATGAATTCCAAAATCATGTTTATAAGAAAAGCTAGTCACGAATGATTAACTGTTATATAATTCAATTTATATGATGTCCAAAAAGGTAAAACAATATTTTTAGGTATACATTCATACATTAGGTAATTTTTTTAAAACATTAAAAAATTCAGTGGAATCATTAACACAAAATTCAGGGCAGTGGTGACTTCTGCAGGGGAAGGAGAGGAGGATACATTTAGAAGGGGCATATCCTGGGCTATAGAATTTCTTAAACACAGTTTGTGTTATTTTATGTATCAGTATTTTTCAGAAGGTATAAGGATTTCTTGCTTTTGCTCTGTACTATTCCAGAAGGAGGTGGAAGTTGCTAGCCTGACTCAGCAGGGGAGATCTCTCTTATTCAGAACCAAGGAAGTTAAACAAAGCTAAATATTAAGCTGGGAGAAGGGAGAGAGACTGATAAACCTTAGAAGAAGGTTCAAATGGATTGTTAGGTCTGAGGGAAATTTCAAAAATACAGGCGAAGCAATACTATCTATTGTACATGGGTTTGGATATATGAAGGAAAAATATAAAAACATGGGTTGACTCACCTCAAATTCATGAAAATAGATTTCTACGGATAGGGAGAGAAAGGGATGGGACTAGGAGGAAAACAAAAGAGATAAACCTTACCTGTACTATTCTATTTTAAATGTAAAAGTTAACACATGTTAATTCTGGGTGATGGGTACATGGGTATTTGTTATATTAGCCTCCATTCTTTTCTATATTTTTTGAAATACGGAAAAAATCTTGCTGGTGAATATCTATTACAAATTTAAACATTCATACTTTTTTATTCTACTTCTAGCAATTTACTACAGATACATCTAAGTGCACATATACATATATATCAATACATGTTTACTGCAACCCCAAATATCCATCAGTAAGATTGGCGCTCTCTCTCTCTCTCTCTCTCTCTCTCTCTCTCTCTCTCTCTCTATATATATATATATATATATATATATATATAGTGCTACAACTTTATAATCATTAAAAAAAATTTTAACAAATGAAATAAATTGACATATGTTAATATAAAGAGTATACAAATTATGTTAAAGATTGCATATGTATATTAAATACATACAGAACATACATATTTATATTAAAATATATTTATAAAGTATATTATATATAAAATACAATGTATGCATTAAATACATATTTATATTAAAATGTATGTCTATATACACTCAGAACATCTCTGGACAGAACACAAGAAATTAGTTAGAGAACAGGGGAAGAAGGAAGATTGACCTTGTATTATATTCATCTGTATCTTTTAATTTTATACCTCATATTTATATCACCTATTTTAAAAATTTTAAAACTACATATGACATAATATACAGAAGATACAATATATAACAATGTATAACATAATTGTACTTTTGAAAAGCAAAATTTATATATGCCTAGAAAAAATCTTACAGATCATACCAATTTAACAGTGATTATATCTGGAGGATAGGATTTACAGGCTTTTTATTTGCTTCATGATATATTTTCATAATGCTTAAATTTTTCACAATGGGTATATATTACTTGTATGATGAAAACTATTTTTTTTTAAACTCAAGTGCATTTTTTAAAAATAAATTTATTTATTTTTAATTTTGGCTCTGTTGGGTCTTCGTTGCTGTGCGCAGGCTTTCTCTAGTTGCGGCGCACAGGCTTCTCATTGCAGAGGCTTCTCGTTGCGGAGCATGGGCTCTAGGTGCGCGGGCTTTAGTAGTTGCGGCACACGGGCTCAGCAGTTGTGGCCCGTGGACTCTAGAGTGCAGGCTCAGTAGTTGTGGCGCACGGGCTTAGTTGCTGCACAGCATGTGGGATCTTCCCGGACCAGGGCTCGAACCCATGTCCCCTGCATTGGCAGGCGGCTTCTTAACCACTGCACCACCAGGGAAGCCCGTGAAAACTATTTTTAAAAAACCCAAAATCTTTGCAATAGATAAATGTCAACCTTCTCTTTGGCTTAATGAAATATTTACATTTTGATGTTAAAGTTTGTGTTACAGACACGGTTTTTCTTTCCCATGTTGAAGGAAGAGGTTTTATTATTTTGTAAATGTTTTTTAAACGACAAACACTTAGGTTATTTTTCTTAGCGAGAGTTTTTTTTTTCTCAGTAGCCTGGAAGATAATCTACTAGATAGTCTTCTCCACTCATAAACTCTGTTTTAACTTTTCTTCCTAAAGAGTCTTCTTGTACAATCATTTATTCCTGAGTAATATTGAATATTAAAAATATCTTCATTGAAAGGGGCTTGGAATCATGTTTTTTGTTGTCATGTCTCAAATATTCTGAATATTTTTTACTCTGATTTGCATTTTAAAACAAGATTTTATAGGCAGAGAGCAAATATGGAGAGTTGTCAGGCCAAAGTAGTATTTTGTTTCTCTATCTTAAGAAATATAAATAAATAGGGTCTAAAAGAAAACATTTCACCATAACAAAAGTGTTTTCTTTTAAGAAACAAATGAAAAATCAAACTTCTTTTCAGGTGATACAGTTAAAACTTACTAATCATGACGAATAACATTTATTGCAGTTCCTACAAGTTTCCTCAAAAATAAACTAAACTAAAAGGACATCTAGGGCTTCCCTGGTGGCGCAGTGCTTGAGAGTCCGCCTGCCGATGCAGGAGACGCGGG